TCTCAAGATAAAATCAGAAATTCTAAAATGATTTGACTCACTAAAATCCCTGGTTTATTCTGAAAAAAAAAAAATCAACCTTTTATGTTTTTTGTTTTTGAAAGTTGGTGTTTATTTGAGATTGCAGCTAGAATGTCATGGAGAGTCTTCTACTTTGTTGGTAAAAGACTCCTTTTGGCATAGAAGCAAGCTTAAAGAGTTCAGGCTGCACAATAAGAAATTGGCAGCGTCAAACAAAAACAGCCCCAGGACTCAAAGTTAAGGCTGAAACTGAAATCTCTAAGAAAAGAATGGAGCAAACTAAAAAAAAACGAATAGCAACTCCTCCCAAAACAAGCTGGCGGCAAACAACAGTGAAGTTGCCAAAGCAAGACAAAACCTAGACAAAATTCTAGAATGAGAAACATGGAAAAAAAACAGCAGTCACGAAGCAAAAACAGAAGCAAGAAAAACCTCCTTGACATCCTCTTTCCAGAATCTTTATCCTCAGATTCGAAGAAGAATTTGATGACCCTCTGGAGGAAATCCTGAAGAGCAAGAGTGCTCCCAAAGCAAGCAACGCCTCCTTGATCTGATCTTGTCACACGTGATCGTTCAGCCAACGACCGAGGGAGATACCCCTCCATGACCATTCGAGGCTGATCCATGTCTAAGCAGAGAGGAAAAAGACCGATGGAGCAGACAGTGCCGACCCAGGGAGCCCAAGACACTCTGGATGCAAGAAAGACATCCCTACCAAGCTCACAGACAGAAGCGTAATCCACCATCTAAAATTCACTTTATTGGGTCAACGCACGAAAGTCTTTGGCTTATTCCAACCTTTTGTATAATGAGAAAATAAGATCACTAATTTTAAATTGACTTGACTCATCAAAATCTTTAATTTATTTAAAAAAAAACTCTTTTCTAATTAAAAGACAAAATCGCAAACTCTAAGACAATTTGACTCACCAAAATTCTTAGCTTATTCAAAAGAAAGTCAATCTCTTATCCAGCGAAAAGGTAAATCACAAATTCTAGAACCGACTTTACTTTGAGTTAATGCACCACAATCCTTAGCTTATCTTATCCCCACCTCTTGTCTAATGAAAAGACAAATTCGTAAATTCCAAAAGTAACGATGATCAATGCACCGAATTAGTCCTAAGCTTTTCCACTGAAGCAAAGAAAAACAAAACAGGTGCATTGACATATGCTCTGCTATGGAGCAAGAAGGATATATAGTGTGAAAATTTGAGTGAAATTGTTGGTTTCAAAGTTGCTTTCTATATTGCTTTACCTAGCTGGATGGGATGCCCAAAGGCAGCACACACCTCGAGTGCTTCATGTGAAAATAACTTTGTATATTTCAAAGTTACTTCATACAAGGAAGCTAGGGAAGAATATTCTAATTTCTAGATAAATGCTGGATTAAGACCTCATCTTTAGAGCTTGGGCCAATTAGCTTGAAGCAGGACTTTAAAAACCCAAAGAAAATGTGAAGACAAAGGGTCCCTTTATCTACAATAATCGCAACCCAGACCTTAAGACTACGGAATTAATCATGCATGTATCTGCATATTAATGTATCATCTAACTTCATAAGATTTTTTTTTTGTAAATTTAAATAGAAAACAAATAAATGTGACAGTATAGATGATGTTAAAAACCATTTTTTTTATTAAATAATACTAACATAAACCATAAATAAAACTTAAATTTAATATCATTTACTGAAAACGGAAGATGTTATCAATTAAATCAACCCCGTCTCAATAAGATTATCAACTTATTGTTAATAAGAAGACATAATCACAATTCACAAAGTGAGATCAATTGTTCCAGCAAGACAAAAAGAAATTTCAATTCCTCGTCTGTGGGGGCAACTAATGTGTTCCGTCCTCAGTAATTAGGGAATGACAAATATCACATTGCCATTTGCTTAAGCGTCTGCAAATAGGAGCTCCATGTGGGCGGCTAGAAATTTAGGATGAACTCCATGGGGTAGTAATGAAGGTGCAAATCAAATGGTTGGTGTGGCTACACAGCTCAAACTCATTGGATGTATATTTATTCAACAGTGTAAAATTTCACAAGAAGAGAAGGAAAGATGACTTACGTAGCTTTTCTCTTATTTGTCTGCCTTATTTCGTGCGTTCCCTCTTCTTTCCATGCACAAAATACAGACCTCAAATTGCCACTGAAAGCTGTTAAAAAGGAAAAGTCTATAGCACATGTATTATTTGATTAGATCTCTTTCAAATGATCAATAAAATAGATTAGGCATCTGAAAAATTCAAGCCATATTTGATCTATATTGTAATTAACAAAATCTAGAAAAAAATATACTAAAATAAAACATTAACTTATAAAGCTCAAAGCTGTCATACATTAAAATTTTTGCAGACTATATAATGGAAAAATAAAATAATAACGTGATTTATTCTCTTCAATAAATATTGATGATTCTTTTAGGTAATAGGCAACAACGAGAGAGACGAAATCACACAGGTGGCCGCATTGGTATGAACGATGATGATTATTACGAACCAAAAATATCAGAGTGATCAATAAATAAAAATACTTTAGAACAAAAATTTTACCACCAAAACAGTTTTTTTTTTTTTACGATGATAATGATGCTGTTTAATTTGGTGTCGACCATAGAATGGAAAATTTTTTAAGTTACTACGTATTGAAAAACAAACTTATTAGGTTTCAAAATATTTATATCCAACTTTATATTAATTTGTTTAATTAATTTTTTTTTATAAATGAAACTTGATATAAATATGAAAGTTATTTGATTTTTAATTAAATTTTTTCTTATAATTATAATCGTATAAAAGTATCAATTCTTAAAAGTAAAATTATACAATTAGTCCATGTACTCTATAAAAAGTATATATTTAGCTCTTATATAATAATTTGTGTGAATTAAATTTTTATATTTTGTCAATTTATATATATGAAGCCTCAAAAACATATATCTCATACATGAACGCAAGATAATCAATTAAAAGAATACCTTTCAGATTTGCTATGAATGCCAAGAACACATTTACAATCATAATGCAAATCTTTTGGGCTTCCTTTCTGTTGGTATGGGTTACTTGGGGAAGAGTTTTAGATTTCTATTTGAATTACTCAAAAAAGGGAAAACCTATTTGAGATTTCTCCCCAAAAGATGAGCCATGTTAATATTGTGCCATGTCAATATTATGCCAGATCATCTGTATTAGTGTTATGCCAGCTTAGTTACAAAGTTACATCAATATATTTAAGTCAAATTTAATAGTATTAGAGTTAAGGATTGAAATTAACAAATTGATAAAATATAAGGATCCAGTTCATATAAATTATTGTACAAAGATTATTTTTATACTCTTTGTATAGTATAAAGACTAATTATATAATTTAAATATTTTTAAAAGTATATTTTTAAATAAATCAACTGTTTAAATTTGAGGGATTTTATTAGATTAGATACTAATTCAAATTTCGACTTTTTTTATGTTGGATTGATTGGGGCTTATGATAATTTTAAATCAGATCATTTTGGGATTTGATTCTTAAGCATGTCATGTCAATTTGAATTCTAAATATAGCCACTCACCATGTTGCTTCGTATATGAATTTGTAATGAGATTTGAATCATTTTTAGATGTTTGAAATTTTTTAATAATTTATAAAAATAAAATTAAAAGATCAAGGCATTTATTATTTATATATGTTATCAATTTTTAATATTAAAATAATTTACTATAAAAGATTTCCAATTAATTCCGTTCTGAAAAGTTTAATTATTATTGTTTTGGTTGAGTTTACTTTTTGCAAGCTAAGTTTCTATGTAACACGTAATATTAAATGGTGCTATATTGATCAAAACTATTTTTAGATCGAGTAGTTGTATATTAGTACTAATTTTACATTTCTGCCCTGTTATTACTTTCTATGAGATTTTTTTTGTCAAGAACTATTGATAAGATTTTTATTGAAATGAACAAATCCGTAAAATTTTTATTTTAAGTTAAATAAATTTTTTAATTAAAATAACTGCTATTATATTCAATATCATTATTTTTTTGTCACGTGGCATAGGATCTATCGATGACAAAATCAAATTGTTGACGGATATAAAATTCACAAAGAGAAAAACTAGATTTCTCCCTTTCTCCTTTTTCCTTTAATTAAAATGGTTTTCTGAAAATCATTTTTTTAAAATCTCAAAAATCATGTAGATGTAAAGAATTTTAGATTTTTAATTTTTTTTAACTTTAGAGAAAAAGGATGTAATTTTAGAAAATTTATTCCGTTGAAAGAAAAGAAGACAAGGAGAGAAATCAAAAAATGATTTGTTTTTTTTTTTTGCTATTTCGATGTCATTTGATGACCAGTGATTGAAAATAAAAAATGCACAATCGGTGGTTTTGGATTTTAGTTTGGTCATGTGATTAATTACTTAAATCATATGCCATGTAAGTGAAAAAAAAGTCGACATTGAATGTAATGAGGGTTACATTTGAATTTATTTAATTTAAAATAAAAATTTAAAAATTTATTTAAATGTATTAAAATATGAGAGATTTAATTAAATAAAAGAGTATAAAATATGAAGTTTTATAGGATTTATACCTTGTCAAAAATATTTTTAAATAGTGTAGCTCAATATTAGTGTTAATTATCTTTTAACATTTTTACGTTATTATTACTTTCGATGAGACTTTTTTTTGTCAAGAACTATCAATGAGGCTTTCATCCATGCCAAACTCACATATGAATATATTTTTTTTGATCCTTTATATTGCAATTTATTGAATTTTTTTTTCCAATTTGCATAATTCTTTTTCTATAATCAATTTATATCATAATAATAATTCGTTAAATCATTCTTTTTCTTCCTTTGCATTGTAACAAATAAAATTGAAAATTGAAAATTAAATATAATAATTACAAAAAAAAAGGAACTACCACGGTATAGGCAGGTGACTAACCATAAATACAAACAATGGGCACAACTATTCTCCATTTCTCTCGCTCCATCCAACACAAAACACTTCGAAGTCTCCGCCCTTGTATCTCTCTCAAACAATGGCTGTTACCTCCAACTCGCTCTTGTCTTTCACTCCCGGCTCACTGAGTCAACCCAGAAGGCTCTCCCAACCTCTTCCTTCCCCATCGCTTTCATTTCCCGGATCTCGTTCAGTCTCCCTAAAGCTCACCCACCGGTCCAACTCAGCCCTTCGTTGCTCTTCAAATGCACCCAACAGCACCGACAATGACGCCCCAATTGAAACGAGTAATCTTTTTGTTTTCTTCCCATCTTACTTTTTTTTTCTTCAAAAAATTTTATGTTCTAATAAAATATGGGTTGTTCTGTTTTTCTTCTTGATTGTTTCAGGGTACCCAGCTTTTCCTACTGTGATGGACATCAATCAGATAAGAGAGATATTACCACACAGGTAAATTAAAGACTCTAGTTTTGATTTACCATCTCTTTTTGCTTGTTTCTGTTATATTTTTATTGGTTTCTTGTTTTTTTTTGGGATACAGGTTTCCCTTTTTGTTAGTGGATAGAGTAATAGAATATAATCCAGGGGTATCAGCTGTTGCTATAAAGAATGTGACTATAAATGATAATTTTTTTCCTGGCCACTTCCCTGAGAGGCCTATAATGCCTGGTGTTCTCATGGTTGAGGTACTTTGTCTATCACTCAAATTTTGTTAATTTTGATTTTCTGGATGTTTTATTGCATGCATAGTTTCTTATCTAAAATGTCGAATGTAGAACTATATCAAAATGTATGAGATTGTGTAGCTTTATTTGTTAACTTTTTGGTTTTCAATTAAAGGAGGTATAGGGCTGGTCCTGCTTTGTCATTGCCTAGGTTATGAGAAATAGAAAGCGTCCTTCGCATAGCCAAACCATAGTTGTTGAGATGGACCAGTTGTAATATGTGGGAAAGGGAATAAGAAATATCGCCGTGAGTCTAAGCTGGAGGTTAAACTAGATATCTTGCAGAATTTCACATTGATTGTGGAATGAGCAGATATTTGAATTAGAGAAACTTCTTCTTAGCATGTAAAATTAAAGTTTGATATATTTGTAATGTTTTGACTTTGTTCAGCAGTTCATGTAGCTAAACCCAACTAGTATAGAATTAAGGCTTAGCTCAGTTGAGATACATTTTACCATTCTGCTTAATGATACAGCTGCTGCGTAGCTTTTACATGAAGTGACAAAGTTTATGGAACAAATAGCAGGAAAGAGAGATCTAAAAGAAAAGGTAGAGAGAATGTTGTATATGAAAGAAAAACGAACATCATAGAATGATCTCCTGGTAGTCATTTTAGATTGTATTCTGGTAAAGAAACAATGAGGCTGTCAATTTACCATATAATATTATTCTTCTGTGAGCAGTTAAGGTTCTGTTTCCAACACCTTTATATCTGTCCCCAAGGCTTATATAATTGCCAAGGAATTAGACAATGCAATCTGGCATCTTCTCTATGATAGAATTTTTTGGGAATGTGCATTTTTTTTCCTCTCCCTTTCTTTTAATATATCTTTTTCATCACATTTCTTTTTCATTAGTTACTGGATGCCTAGTTCTGCATACTGAATGTTGAATGTTTTGACCTTGAAGATGCTATTTTTCCCCTGGAAATTAGGTGCTTGATAGATGAGTTTTCCATATATTAATTTATTGAAATCAATATGACTATGATTAAAATGGTGTTGGTACCTGTGGGCATGACGGCCATAGGTGTCTACTACTAGTTAGTTTGTTTTTTGGGTCTGTACTTTAGTGCCACAGTTATTTTTATTTTTTTCTGGTTATCTTGATTCGCTCCAAATAGTTACTAAAGAACTGTTGCCAAAGGCACAAGGCACATTCTAGGTGCTAAAACCCTTCGTTCTTCTAAGGCACAAGATACAAAATAAAGTTCCTGCCTTCTAGAAAACAATAGATGCATACAAGCAACAGAAAATTGTATGTGTTATATATAATAATTCAATGTTTCCTTCACTTCAATTTTTCAAGAAAAAGTTGTGCATGCTTCATGGCCCATTTTTTAATTCTTCTAAGACGGTTGGTTTTGCCCTACTTTGACTATTAAAAGTATAACTAACAAAAGAAATTTAGAAATAAAGGAACCAAAAGGATACTTTAATCATGTGTGCTTTTATGTGCCTTTCCTTATTAAAACAAAAAAGTATGCCTAGCACCAAAGGCATGTTCTTGACCAATGTGGAAAGGGGTGTGAGGCACCTTACTTGATTAGCATGGGACATTAACGCCTGGTACATGCCTTCACAACACTGGTTATTGCCTATAAGACCTGATCCTAGGTTCTAAATATGATTCTGAATCACATTTTCCCTCTCCAGGATTTTGCTACAATCCTTCTTATATCCCCCTTTCCATTTGTTTTCGACACTCTACCTGATCTCTGTTTTCTTATTCCTCCTAAAATTGAAAGTTTGATCTGACTACTGTATGAGATACAATCTCATGTTCATGGCTAGTTTGGCTAGTTTTCTCTTTCATCTGTAGTGCAGCATCTCATAATTCAAATTATCAGTCATCCTTTATTTGTTGGTTTCAGAGTTTTTTCCTACTTAATTGCTTCCTTACACATGCTTTCAACATTGTTAAGGATCCACACGTTATCCGCTCTGTATTTAAATAAACTCAATGAACCATGGGCTTGATTACATTTATATGTTATCGAATCAGCTGCAAAGTCTATTTCATCTGAGCTGCTATTGGCAGTTGACATGAATTTGTGTAAAGTTTGTTAGCACAAGTGTCCTGTTAATATATTTTGATTCATTTGTTGTTTAATCCATACAATTTTTGTTGAAAACTAAGCTTGGTTGAGCTCTTTCTTCCATATTTTAAGTAAGCTGTGGCAAGATTTTATGCTGTTTGGATCTTCCGTTTCTGTCATGCTTCTTCATGTGAACTTCTCGCTACACTAGCTTCTATGTATCATTTTTCACTGACAGCTTTGATCTCCTACAGTGGTTCTATCTCCATAAACACCGTATTTTTTGTGCTGTCTTTGCATAAATATTCCAAGATAGACTAAGTTGCCATATTTTTTCTATTCTATGATAGATTATTCTGCTGGCAGTTTTTATATTTGATATTTTAGCTAGACATTGTAATTAGTGTTTCTGTTGTAAAACAACTCGAATATTCAATTGGGTGAACAAGCAAATATTATACTTAAGTTTTTGGCACCTGCAATTGGAGTCTGTCTGACCAAGTTGTGACATGTCTGAGTAGTAGCCCCTTCATTGCAGTGTTCTGTTCCAGCTGTGCTTGATGGCTTCTCCTTTGACTTGAAATGTGAAGGAATTAAGATTTATGTTTTTCATTACTTTCTGATTGCCTTTTTTCTACATCAATTTAATTCCAGATTAGTTATGGCATTCTAGTATCTCCTCATTTCAGGAGGTTTATACAGTTCAAGAATTTTTATTTCCAAAATAACATTAAATTGGCTTGATTATGTATTTTGGTATGATCTCTGAAAGCTACTGGATATCTTCTTTCATTCGTCTGTTTTTCATGTAAATTTTGCTGTTCTATATTTGTGATTCTAAGTTTTGATCATTGTCAAAGCCTCCAAGCCACCTTTGCCACCCCTGGTACTTATTTATATCTAGTCATCTGATAGGTGGTTAGGCTAAACTTTACGCTATAGAACTCCTTATTCTGAATAACATGTGTATATGAAAGGAAAAAAACAATGGCAACTAGAGAAACAAATTGAAGTATGGAACCACCATGCTGACGGGGATGATGTTGGTGTGGCCACCTCTAACTGTAGTCTAGGCATAGAATAAAATAAATAGAAAAAGTTAAATTGATGGATTGCTTGACTTTGTGAATTAGATTGTGAAGGATCTTCGTTTGGGATTGCATGATCCAATTGGAAAATGGGATGGGGTTTTCAGTCCAATAGACTAGAAAAGAAATGAATGCTCTAGTAGCATCCATCATCTTTGATTCAGTAGCCCTTGAACTCCTTTCTTCTTGGTTTTCTTTCCTCTCTATTTCCATCTCATGTTTTGGTAGGCCAGTTGATGCTACCGTGAGGATGCACCCAAGGCCTTGGCCACCAGAACATTGTCATCTCTAGCTGCAAGAGGTGCCAACAAAAATGAGTTTCTGAAAATAATTTGGTATTTAGATGATTAATTTCCTGTAAACCACATCTTTACTGTTAGGAGGTTCTAACAGAAGTATTTGATTGGTCCAGGCAATGGCACAAGTTGGAGGCTTGGTTATGCTGCAACCTGAAGTGGGAGGTTCTCGGGAGAATTTCTTTTTTGCTGGAATTGACAAAGTGAGGTTTAGGAAACCAGTCATTGCAGGAGATACTTTGGTGATGAGGATGACACTCATCAAGCTGCAGAAGCGGTTTGGAATAGCAAAGATGGAAGGGAAAGCATATGTTGGAGGTGACTTGGTTTGTGAGGGTGAGTTCCTGATGGCTACCGGTAGTGATTGATATCCTCAATAATTTATCCTTCTATTTCCTCCAATTTTCTGGAAATGCATCAGACATGTTGTAATTGAGGCTTTCATTGTGTACACATCCCTTGCAAGGGAGGTTTTTGTCGGTGTTTTCTTTGACAATCTATTATTAAGTTATTTTGTACTTTTGCAACAAAGAAAAAAGTTTCTTCTACCACTTCATTTAGACTGAAATCAGTTAACGCTTTCCAGAAAAAGGAGGTTGAACATTAATATTTGGTCTGTGATTTGGAAGGGGTAAAGATTTTGTAGGGCTACTTGCAGAGATCAATTAATTTATTGTACATGGAGAACTCTTTGGTATGTGCCTTAGTTCATATGGATTAAGAAGAGATTTTACTGAATCAAAAACATGCTTTAATTTAAGAGTGCAAAGTTTACCAGACAAGCAGAGATGGAGAGAAATAAATGGCTTACCTTTTGCCATGAATTTAGTGATACGAAATTACTTTAAAAATGATGTAAAAATTATTAAAAATAATATTGAAAGCACCACAGTTGGACTTCACTTCATGCATTTCTTACATGGACATAAAAATAGAAGGTGCCTGATCTCTACTTTGCTAGATCAGCTTTTATATTGATGGTTTAACCTAAAGTTAAATTTTATGAAAATTTGTTGACATATAAATACATGGATTGATCAAAATTTGCACCCTATGCTTTGTTTCTTTCCAGCATTTTCTCAAATTCTCCCCAGTCATTTTAGTTTCTTGAAAAGCAACTAAGTTAGCCCAGCAGTTCCATCTCAAGTATGAACCTTCACTATAAATATAATGTACTTTTAAAATCTCCAACGCAGTATTAACTGATGGAATAGTCTTCTGGTTTTCGCTCATAAAAATCTCTGCCGATGAGCATTTTGTTTTAATCTGAGTGCAAACCTTGTGAATAAAGCAAGAATGTATTGAAATTTGAAAGGGGGTATTATTGATGTCTGAGTGTTCTTTTTTGGCTCCCAATGATGTGGCTGATGAGTGCATACTACCTTTAGTTTGCACACAATCTGTAGTGGGACTCAGTGGTAGGAATGACTGTGTCCTTTATGCAGCCATCAAGGCCCTTTGTCTATCTTTTGCTTTTAAGTTGGTAGGAAACATCAATTATTACACCTCTTATTTAATGGAATCTCTTGCTCTACAGCCATACATTTGTTTGCATGTGTGGGTGAGCCCATCTTTCGTGAAGACTCTACTGCTAAAGAAATGGTCACTACTGCTCATGTTTGTGTAGACAAACTCAATATCTTGAGTAAGAGAGATGCTAATTGTTTAGAAATTGCTTTGCGTATCTGCAATGAAGTCAGCTCTGCTATTGATCAAATACATTAAGGGGCTAAGGTTTAAGCAACTAAAAGAGCATGGAAACAGCTTCTGTTGACATCTTAAAATGAGAAATGTATGTTTTATGCTGCCTTTTAAGCAAATTAAGCTGATAATCTTAAAAAACAGTCAAGTAGTTTATATTGTGAATCTTGTGATTAATTATATGGTAAAAGTTATACAGTATACTTTGATCAGAGTCTCATGTCCAGCTTCATCATCTTGGAACCCAGAAATTGAAGAAGTTCTTTTATAATTCCTATGGAAGAAGGCTATAAAGGCTACGGAAAGAAACTTAAGCATACAGTTGGGCAGGGATGAAATTTCCTGGAAATTCTCCATATAGTGGGAAAAAGATTTTCTCACATATCTCTCTGATGAAGTCTTAGGTAGAATAGTTTCAATTCCCTTGGGAATTGGATCACCTTTAATTTTATTCAACCATCCTAAGATTGACAGAAAGAGTCTTCTCTTTTCTTTTCCACAAATGTGCTGCGATGTCATACTAAGCATTTTTTTTATCCCAAGTGTAAAAAGATATCCTCTAGTAGTTTTGCACTCCCATCATTCACTTTGTTGTTGTTAGTCATAGACATAATAGATTTCCACACTCTTCCCCTCAATCTCAATCAATAAAGATTCACTGGCATTTGTGTCATCACAACCATGAAACCAAGATGGGACAATACAAACTACTTTTATCCCATCTTTTCTTTTTTCTCTTTTTTGGGCTTTGTCATCCCAATTTTTCACCTAAATGCTGAATTATTGGAAAATTTTTTTCTTTTTTCACTAGCTTGTTCCAAGTATTAAACAATATTCTACCTGGAGGTATAAGTACTCCTGAGTAAGAGGATGCACAAGAAGAATTAGATTAAAACAAAAGCAGATTAGCAATGAGTGATGGCAATGAAATACAAAAGTTAATCATTTAAAAATAATTAAGGTGATAAAAGTTAATAGTAGGGAGGTAAAAAGTCTGAAAAGTGACTAGCCAGATGGTGATCAACCACCACCTGGAAATCTGTCATTCGAGCCATAATTGTGGTAGGACCATTTCATATGACGACACTACATACTTTGATTGGTTGTTTTGGTTTCTAAAATTTGCTATTTTATCGATTTATGTTCTTTTTACATGTTTGGATTTTTATAAGAAGAAAACTAAGGCCCTTGGGTCCCATTGGGGACCCAATAATTGACACAAAGTGTACATAATAATTGCTGAAACATTTTTTATCAAAGAGGGCAAAAAAATATTGCTCATAATAATGGATCATCACTCACTCGCACAGGAAGGAAACAGCTTATGATGTTTCTTCATCATTTCTATATATTTTTAAAGAGAAAAAGGCTAGATGGGTCTAAGTTCAAATAGGTCGAAAATCTGAATGACATTATTTATAATTTCATGTATATTGGATATTGCAGTGAAAATGGAGTCATTGGGTTATTGTTTTTTGTTTTGTATGATAATTGAAAATAAAGCTTGATCATGATCCCACCCATATGATATTTCCTGTGACTAAACTGAAAACAGCTCTTTTGCCCCACTTGGTGTAATAATTATCATAAAATTTCCTGATTTGCTATCCTTAAACCTTATGCAGCTGACAGGAATGATTAGATAGAACACCTAATATAATTGGAGGACACCAAAAAAAAAAAAAAACAAAACATGATTTTTACATATTTTGTCCTTTTCCACACTAATAATTACTGGGTGGTTTGAACAGAGCTTATTTAGGACAGACATTTCTATTTTTATTTATTTAGTTTAATGAAAGATAACTCTTAATTTGTACGTATATTACAGAAAAAAAGAAACAAACATAGCATTGAAGCATCTCACTTTGATCGGCCAAATTAACTAAAGACTGGCGGTAGGTCATCCAGGGAAACCCTTTTTTCTAGAGAAAAATTATTTTCTCAATTATTGTAAATATTTTATTAATTATGAAGAATAATGTTAATGAAATATTGAAAGCTGTCAATCTGATCCCATGAGTCCCAGTGATCATTTGTAAGAATGAGACCGCTACAGATCTGGAACTTCCCCCAACTTGCAGACTGTAGCCCCATTCCACAATAAATTAAAATGGAATTTTTTTTTTGGAGAATTTAAATGATAGTTGATTTCAAATTATCAACTTCACATTTTATTCATTGTTGGAACAAGACTAGAATTAATCTTGCGGCTCAACCATGGCATAAAAAAAATGAGAAACAAATGAATTTATAAAATGTTGAAAAGGAAGATATGAGAGAACTTTATTTTTCAGGTTAAAAAAAAAATTATATGAACAAATGTTCGAATACAATTTGTAATGTTTCATGTTTATAACAACAAAGAAGAAAAAAAAAATGTCATCTCCACACTTCAAATGATGGAATTTACATATCTTTTCTCTCTTATATTGTGCTGGAGAATTTGATTTTAGCAATTCGAAGCACAATTTCATTAAAATTTTATTGTAAATTTGAGGGGGAAAATGTAATTACACTGTTCAGAAGGACTGGCTTAGGCAGTAACCAAAGAAGAAAAGGAGGAAATAGAAAATAGGTGTGAGACATCTTTTAAATCGTGGGGTGAACTTTCCTTATCAATTGTACGAGTGTGCCCTAAGAGTTTGGAAACAAGACATATACATCAGAAAGCATCAAAATAAATTTCAAACATTCGCAAAAGTGAAAAAGATCATTATCTTGTTGGCTGCCCATTGTCCACTCAAATATTTTTTCGATGTGCATGTTTTGGTCTAGATTCACCCCACCCCTCTGATTAATTCATCCTTCCATTGCTCCCAGCACCCTTTTTACATGCCCTGCTACCAACTCTTTATTTGCCCAATCCTTCAAACTCCTAAAAGGAAAGACAGCACAACTTATGGGTATTACGTACAGTCATTATCTTCAACGTTGTGAGAAAACGACACAATACAATAATTTTGTAAATATATCGAAAATATCTAATGTTGGGTAACAAAAAATGAAGTTACCTCAGTGATATTGACGTTGAAACCCTCAATTGTGGGAGTAAATTAATTCGTGTATTTGACCTTATATAGGTCTCTTATTTAAAACCTCAATTTCTGGTTAAGACAAGGTAGTTGTTGAGGGAGTAATGGTAGTGAGGGGTTGATTTAAACATTTCTCTTGTTAACATGCCAATCAGGGGGGTAGGATCTTTTAAAAGTTCCTGTAACTTAAAGTTTTATGAAAAAGAATGCTGTGCCTCTGGTTTGGCCAACAAATAATTTTAATTAATTTTAAATAAGGTTATTGCACAAACATGGAAAGAGTTTGTGTAGTGGTTCATGAACTAAGATGATGTCTCATGAAATGGACATCTTGAATTTGACTCTTCGCACTAAAACTCTCTTATTGAGGTCATTCATTTTCAGCCATGTAAGATTGGAAAATTAAAAACAATTATTTCGTAATTGCATGATCCAGTAATTATGCATTGAAATTTACATGTTGAAATTAAAGATAATTAATTTAGCTCCAAAAACATGACTGTATATATTATAGCAGCATAATTCTCTATTGGGATTTCAAAATAAAAAAAAAAGAATAAAACCGAAAGGGGGTTCACAATAAATGCTTAAAAGATTACGTACCAAATTCGTTTTTGACCCTTTTGTATAATTTATTGACCAATTAAGAGTTTTGCCAAAAAATGATAAATGATTTTTATAAAAAAAAGTGTAAATAGAATTTAAAATATATATTTTTAAACAAGATTAAGACTAATAAATTTTATGACTTTAAAAAATTTAAAGAAAGACCAATGTTTATCATTTTATGCACATCAAGATCCATTATTGATTCTTGGATTATACAAATGAGGTT